CACCACTGCCTAGAGGAAAGCAAAATGCAATTTTCAGGAACAACAATATTCCACAAAGATAAGATCCCCCATCAGCATTGGATGATTTCCCACGCTAGAAAATATTTCCTATGAATATACATTTTATAGCCCAGCATTTTTTGTTTATATTAACAATAAAAAGGAGCCCTTTAGGATTTTACTCCACTAATCGTTGCTGACTATATGGGGTGGTGGTCATCTCCTTTTCATGGCCATTGGGCCAGCAGTGTTCGAAGGTATTTCTGCAGTCATGTGCCCAGCATGACATCATGGAATGCGGTTCCCTTCCAACTGAAGGGGTACCTATTTATCTACTCACATTTGCATCCTTTTAAACTGCTAGGTGGGCAGGATCTGAGGCAGGGACAGGAGCTCACCTTGTAGCATGGCTCTCTTGAACCTGGGTTGCCGGCTTTCCACCTGACAAGCCCAGTGTCTTAACAACTGAGATACTGCACCACCCCATTACTAATAACAATAGTAATAAAACAAAAATAAAAATGTATATCTATTGCATTATTTCAGGTAATCAATAATCTATAACTATTAGTGAAGATATCTAATAGTACAGTGGACCAAAATAGTTCTCATTTTATAATCCGTTTTCACTGCCTATTTTTGCTAATTACATTGCTTATTAACTGAATATAGCCATCCCATTTACAGCTAAGCAATCTAAACAATTGGAAAGGAAGCAATGCACACCACCTACAATTATAGCCTTGCAGAAACCTATGGGAACAGCATCTGATGAATCATTTATAAGGAACACATGCCTCATAATTTATTTCAATATACATGACGCTTCTGCCTAAAATTGGAAAATGGTTCATAATTAATTGACAAATTACTTGTGAAACATCAGGGATACCTGCCCATTTCAGAGTCATAGTCAGCATTCCAAAGCAATAAAGCCATGTGTTAACGTTCTGGGAAACACCTTGAGGTCCCTTTGGTCCTCAATTACAATTAGACAGAAGCCTAGTTAAGAGATAAAATTCACGCCGATAACCATTTGCAATGGAAATCAGTTAATCAGATCAACTACTTTCAAAAAGGGTATTAGGAGCTGATGAGTGTCCATCTAGATCTAATATGCATAGTGGTTAAAAAGGATGCACGGCTTTCATTTCTGATCTTCACAGAGCCCTTCAAGATGGGTGTTTCTCTTTCAAATGAGGTGACTTGGAACGATATGTACAACTCATCTTGGTACCAATCCACACTGTTGGGTTCCATAATAAATACAAAACAGAGATAAGGATAAATATCTGGCTTTTCCTAGAATAGATTATCTCATTTGTCATACTATTGACTAACATTGTGGTATCCAATGAGGAAGACACAATGATTCTTTAAATATGAGTAACTGGTTTCTTGTATTGTCAGACAATTTGCCATCATTTTTTGTAGCAATGAGACAGACTTATAGTTAATTTAAAGTCACCTTTAAAGCCCTTCATGGCTTGAGACCAGATTATCTCTCACTTGCCTAGAGTGGGGAGGCAAGAAATGTTGCAGGTTCCATCCCCTAAAGAGGTACATCGAGCAGGACCCAGAAGAACGGCCTTTTACGTGGTGGCTGCAGGGAACATCATCCCTGCAGAAATTAGACTGGCCCCCATTTTGACACTATTCTGTAAGGCCCTGAAGACTTGGTTTTGCCAATGAGCCTAGGGAACTCAGAGTGGGATGGAGCCCATAAAGTGGCTCATTTGACTGTGTGTTGTCACCAGAGGGAGGGGGTTATTTGTTTTTTGTTTTTTTAATTTTTATACTGGGTTTTTACTCTTTATAAGTTTGTAGAGATGCACACTCAGGATCCAAGTCCAAATCAAACGATGTTCAACAAACTGTTTTTATATCACAAAAACCACATATACAAATCAGAATTTCTTGACATCTCATCACTTGTTTCTGATTCATTGAAGACATGCACAGTTTAGGCTAGTACGTGGGATGTACTTAATTAGCTAAGCTCTCCACTTCTGGGTGTGTTTTTTAACATGCTAACAATGGAACTTTTCGCCTCCACACCTTTGCTTGGACATTCATGAGCACAGCTTAAGCTAAATGCCACATTGTCTTTCCTTATTCCTTGCAAAATTCTTCAGCACATTATAAAGCCACCATCTGCCAGACAGATTAACATTTCCTATAACTGAAGTGTTTGTGGTTAGCTTCTTTAGCTTCTTCTGATAAGTGTCAAAGTAAGTGCCAGCTAACTGCTGAGTCTAACAATGGCTATATCAAGCAAAAGCATAGATAAAGTGATTAAGATGGAGTAGTTTGGTTGAAGCTAATTCATGGCTCACTTGCAAAAGCTCCTTAACAAGTTGCTAATAAGTTAATAGGCCAGGCCCTCAGGCTCTCAACTCCATACAGACTTGTCATTAAATTAACAAAATGAAGCTTAACTCCAAGAGCCTCAAAATCCATTGTAATCATTTTGCCTCACCTGCAAAAATAACCACATTGAAACTCAAATACTTTGGCCACCTAATGAGAAGGAAGGACTCACTGGAGAAGGGCCTAATGCTGGGAAAGATTGAGGGCAATAGAAGAAGGGGATGACAGAGAATGAGATGGCTGGATGGAATCACTGAAGCAGTAGGTGTGAACTTAAATGAACTCCAGACGATGGTGGAGGACAGGAAGACCTGGAGGAGCGTTGTCCATGGGGTCGCGATGGGTCGGACACGACTTCGCAATTAACAACAACAACAAGAGGGGAACAGTATACTGCCTATCAGGAGAGGTCCTTTAAGCTCTGAGATCACTAGGCTTTTCCTTATTCTTGAACCATTTTAGAGGTGCACAGACCATGAGGCCTAAAACATCTATTAAAATGCAGGACACCACATTTCAAGCATGAAACAGCTGTTTTAAGTGCAAAAAAAAAGGTTATCTTCCGTGCTTGAATGACTTCCAAATACTTGAGGTTTGAACTGAAACATTTTACATACTGTGACCCTCCATATTCCTTTTATTTTTCTCAAAAAGATGGAGTCAGGAAGCAGAATTGCCGCAAACTCATTGATATTCCATGCTTTCAATAGTGATGGGTAAATTGGTAAAATCAGCCAACAAAATTATCCAGGAGTAATTTCTTATAGATTGATTTTTAGTGGAAGCATCAACATACAAGCAAATATTTCCAAGCATGCTCATAAATTCCCTTATGAATATAGAACAGGAAAAAAATTATAGCGCTGCATGTTGGATTGCAACTTCCATCACCCCAGATTGCTTTAATGTGAGTGAGAGTGATGGGTCCAACAATAACTAAAAGTAACAGTTGTCCAGCAATATTTGGAAGCAAGAAATTCATTGTTCCTGTTTCACTGTCTAAGAAAAACATGAAAAAATATTAATCTCATTATACATGACTGCCATCAAGAATCTTGAACATATTTAGCTTTCAATGAGGTTTTCCTTTTCCACTACTAAGAAAAAAAGACATTATTTGCCATTCTTTAAATTTACTACAATAGTATAAATGATACAAATTTGCTGTGGAATACCTGTTCTTGAAAAAGGGCTATCTTAATGTCCTAATACAGATTTATTCAGATCAACCAATATTGGAATAATATTATATTGCAATCTTATTATTAAATTACAAGTTAGTTAGTTTAATGTTTGTTCAAGATATGATAGGATAATGTAAAATAAAATAAATATACATAAAACTAAACCCTGCTGAAGATAATATAAGCTTCTGGAAATCTTGTTTCACTAATTTATAGAGTTTTCTGAAAGTGTGATCAAACATGCAGGCATAGGAAATTTAACATAAATTGCAATTTACAGTTTCAAAAGATCATTGCCAAAACCCCTCACTGGAAATAAATAAGCAAATGCAACAGCATGGGATAAGAAGATATGCTCTTGTGAACGGATAGTTAGTTAAAGAACAGGAAGTAAAAAATAGGAACAGATGAACAATTTTACTCAGGAAAGACATGAAAATGTTGTCCTTCTGTATGACGGGTTTTAATCTGTCTATAAATAATCAGGAATGACTAGTAAGCTGGGCACATTTGCAGGTAATGCCAAATCTTTCAAGGTATTAAAATAAGAAGAGATTTTCTAAAGTCTAGATCTCTCCAAAGTAGGCAAATGGGGTTCAGAATGACAAATGCTCTTCTACACAATGCTGGTCCAAAAACTATACATCAAAATTCACATATATTGTACTTTAATGGGATCCGAATTGGCAGAAATTAATTGGGGAAAGGGTCTTGAAGTCATCATGGATAGCTCAAAAAAAAATTCAATCCTTATGTTTGGCCACTATAAAAAGATAACTCCCATGCTACAATCATTAATAAAAATGGCAATTAAAACAACCAATATTATGTTGTAGAAATCAATGATGCCACTTTAATTGAAATACTGTGTTCATTCTTGGCTACCACGCTTCAAACATTGTATTGTACACTTGGAAAAGCAGCAAAAATGTGCAACCAAAATTATGTGGAAGCTAGAATAGATATTGCATGAAAAAAGACCACAGTGTCTTTTTAGCTTTAGTCTTAAAACAGATAGAGAGTTGATAAAGATATAAAAATGTATGCCCAGAATGGGAAATGTAGCTATAGAGTCCTTCACTTTCTTTCATAATATTAGAACGCAATCACTGAAACTAAGTAGAGATTCCAGATGGATAAAAGAAAGCAATTCTTTACAGAACAGATAGTTACATGGGACGATTTTCTATCATCAGATATGATAACAGCTTCCAGTTTGGATGCTTTTAAACAGAGGACCAGACAAATTTATCAAAGATTGGGCTATCAGTCACAATTATCTTGATCGCTCTTTTGGTTCTTTGGTTTCACAGTTGCCATGCCTTGAAAATGGAGTGGACTGGACTGCTCTGTCAAATTCTTATATTTTTATGTACATGATTGGTTTAAAATGTGTGATATTTATCATTGGTTCAGGAAAAGGGAACTGAGCTATAGATAACTTACCACATCAATTATCTGCAGCAATGAAAGCTGAAGTTCTACTACAAGAGGTTGTGAGTCATTCACAACAGGCCGTTCCAATCGATTATAATTTTTCAGTAGTTCTCGATACAGCCGTCTTTGGTTTTCACCTTGCTGGGAGACTAGAAAAAGAAGAAAAAGATCTACTTTAGGCAATTATTCTCTCTCTTTTTAAGATTCTCCTTTCTCATTCTATTAGAAATTTGATTGCCTGAGTTGCTTTCTTCTGATGAAAGTCTCCAGATCAATGGTATGTTCCTTGTACAAAATACCTCTGATTCAATATCTAGAATCTCAAGACAAGACTTGAAGACTGTTCACTGTGGACAGTCACTGAGCTAAATGGAACAATATTCTGACTTATCATCAAGTCAGATTCTTATGTTGTTAACTTCTTATACACTGACCTGGTCTCCTTAGTTGGTAGGGTAGAAAATTAATAAGCAATTAATTTTTATTCTTTTAAAAAAATCATCTAAACATTCCTATCTTAATTCTTGAAAACCCCTCTCTATTTGTGATGTTTCTGGATTAAAACAAAAAAAAGTTATACATCCTAAAATAATTTCTGTTTTCCTAGACATTCATTAGCTTAAACCACACAATGCATACTCAGCTAGAGGAAAGACCTACATGGTACTTTTTTTGCTCCTGAACAAATAAAGATATTATTATATTTTATTAATGTCTAATATAATTTAACAATTGCAAATTAATGAGGCATTTTCTACTAAGCTGTATTTTAATAAAAACTTTTTCCTGGGAATGAAAAATAAGGCTAATGTTCTTCCCATTAGTGTAGCTTGCATCAATTTGGATTCCTTTGGTATCTCTTGCTGTAACTCACAGAAGATGTCATTCATTCACTCTCATGAGAGAAATAACTATTACTCTACCTATCATTTTTAGCATAACAAATAGACTTTGTATCCATATGTTTGTATGCAGTTTTTTAAAAAAAATTATGCAAATGCTTATGCAAGCAAATCTCCTGGGTTCCTAGCAAATCACCCAAGCAGCTGTGAGTGTTGTGCATGGTTGGTTTATCTAATAAAGCTCTATGTTGTTTCCTTTGTGTTTGCCCCAGGACAAAAATAAATGTAGAAGTAATCATAACAAAAGTCCACATAAAAGTAGGAAGGAAGCTATTGTAAAATCAGAAATGTAAAGATATAATGCACACATACTCACATATAGATGCATATCAACAGCTATGGCAGAGAAAGAAACTAAATCCATGCTATGTAGTTCATAGGCAAAAAGTTAAGATTAAACAGCTCCAATAGGTAGATTTCATTCAATTATAGGTAATCCTCGCTTAACATCCATTGTTCAGTGACCATTTGAAGTTATGACAGTACCGAACAAAGGGACTTATGTTTGTAGTTCTGACTGTTGCAGCACTTCCACAGTTACATGAACAAAATTCAGGCCCACCTGGGGCCACCCAAATTTATGACTACCTTTTGGCTGCCCTCCCACCCATTGCTGTTAGCTGCCCTATTGCCTGGTCCTACCCATCAGCGCCATACTCACACCATTACTGTACCAGCTGAGGCCTTTTTTCATGTCTTCTCCTTTCTCACTGGTGCATTCAGGCCTTCTCTTCCCCCCCCCCCCCGCTTTCACAAAAGAAGCCCAGCACATGAAAGAAGATCCTAGCTGTACCAGTGCAAAAGAAGCCTGGCATGTAAAAGAGCAGCTAAGCTATGCCAGCGCAAAAAAGGACCTTTCCAGCCAGGTCATTTTGCGCTAGTATAGTTGGGGCCTTCTTTCACATGCCAAGCCCTGGAAAGGGCATGACCGGAGACCCTGACTGGCATGTGAACAAAGGTCCTGGCTAGTGCATAAACAGAGGCCCTACCAGCACACAAGAGAAGTCCCAGCTGCACCAACATGAAATACGATGATATGAAAAGAAGACACAGCCAGTACAATACGCCGTGTGATGCAGTAGGCATAGCACCAGCTGACCAGGGCTAGATGGTGGGGGCAGCTGGTGGCAGTGAGTAGGCATGTGGCCAAAAGGGCAGGGGTACAGGGAGATAGGGAAGTGAGGGGGGTTCAAGAGGAGGCAGTTCCTCACCTTATTGAGGCCTAGGGCTGGAATGGACCAAGCGGGGTATGGCTTGAACTGGGATAGATCCTCACCAAATAACTGGTAGGATTTGGTTAATAACAGCAATGGTCATTGACAGGATTGCTATCGCTAAGCAATGTGATCACATGACATTGCACTTTATAACTGCATTGCTTAGTGACAGAAACTCTGTCCCGAATTACCATTGTTAACCGAGAACTATCTATAGGAATGAATGAATAAATAAATGATCTGAAATCTGGGCCACTTGTGCAAAAGAATTATCAAGACTTGAAAGAAATATCCCATGATTTTCATTAGTTCAAATGTTTAATGTTTTATTTTTTAAAAAAGTCATGTGGAATAAGGAATAATTATTGGAAAACAATTGCCTATTTCTTCCACATAAATATGCATAGTATCACGATGTCATAATGCAACAATCCATATGCGGAAACTGTTCTCTGATACTTTCCTCTGAAGTAGCCTCATTCATACATACTTGATACCCCAATGAACAAGTTATGAACCATGGCAAGTTACAAGCCAAAGTAGCGTTACTAAAATGCAGGGTATGTTATTCTTTTGGCAGATTCAGGTAGCTGCCAGGTATGCAGCTTACTTGATGCATTTTGCAGTTCCAAGAATGTAAAACTTACTACCGCCGTATGTCACTTATTCCCCACAGATATAAATATGTCCCATCTGCTCTTCTTTGCTATTGTGAGCATTGTGACATTTGTCTACAGCTGCAAGCGTGTGATAAATATCCTTAGATGTAAATATTTTTTTAACTATACTGTAAACAAAAAAGGGCAAAGTATGAATAAATTATGGGTACTGTTTCTCCATATCTCTCCATAGGGTTTTTCTTTGTATTTTAATATTTTTCATCTTAAATTACATCTGACTTGCCTCTGGATTACACAGGTAGGTGGTCTCTTTTGAATTGAGCTAAATTCCTGATGACTTTAAAAGATGGATTCCATGTTGTTTTCTTGGCAGCAGATGGAAACACTGTGTCATTAACTTTTTCTAGGATGATTTTCAATTTCCCCTGTGAATCTGCCCTACAGTTGTGTTATTCTCCCATCCAAATACATGCCAAACCCAGCCTTGCTTAACTTCTGAGACCAATTGATGCTAAATTAATCTATTTTCATCCAAACCTGTCACTTGGTTTACTCTAGACTTCAGATCTCAGAATTAGTTAGTTGGGGGGGCATCCAAATTGAATAAATTAATAAATGAATATTTTTATAATGAGAAACACAAATAGCCTACTGTATCACATAACATCAAAATTTTATCATAGGGTACCTGAGATGGGTGAGAGGGATGTTGTCCTCAATTGCCATTGTATAAATACCCATAATTATTCTTGACTGTTTCATTTTTAACACAATTAGTCATCCAACAAGTCACTGTTGAGATTTTAAACTGAATGAATGAATGGTGATAGGAAAACTGACCCAGCTGAGATCATTTAAATACTTTAAGAAAGGACAATAATGAGAAATTTTTAAAACAATTAAATGTCTGTCTATCATAAAGAATGTTAAATGTATACTCACCAAATCTATACAAATTTCCTATCTCTTACACACACCTGTATATTTTTCTATATGTAATTGTTCTGTTTTCTCTCCCTCTTCCCCATAAAATATATGAAATTTTCAAATTTACAGTATTATCACCCTGTTCGATAGTGTGTGTGTGTGTGTGTGTGTGTGTGTGTGTGTGTGTGTGTGAATTTGCATAGGCAGCTGCCGAAAGAGGGGGGGGGGGGGAATGTTGGAAGCTTCCCTTAGGACTATTCCTTGTTTTATCCACTTCCTGCCTGCCCCAATCATTCTGACTCACTACAGGTAAACTCTATCAACCCCAGCAAGACTAAAAAACAGACATCTTGCAAATCTAAGCTACTTTTATTAGAACAGCTGCAGAATCTTGCAAGTCAGAATGTGCTTCTTTTTCTTCCTGTTTTATCTTCACGAGAATGCCGGGGAGAGTGCTTTCTAAGGCATTTCCCCAAATTATTTTCTTGGCCTAGGCTCATGTTCCATTTACTTTGGTAACAGATCTTCCTTGTGTCCATCAATGCCATCTATCCACTGCAGACTCCTTGTAGGCCAGTCAGATCAGTTGGTGCTACTTATATTCTTATTGTTTCCACATCTCAGCCATGAAACATTAGAGCTACCACTTTTGGGCTGGTAAAGTTTGGGCATTCATTAAGTGGATGCAAAATGTTAATGCTTTTTAAAATCATTAATATTTTGCTGTCATATATGGTTCTCTGGAGTTTAGTGGTCCAGTTATGGTAGTCCTATAGGAGAGGTGACAGAGCAGACCAAGAAGGCAAACAATGTGTGTCTACTAGAGTGTGACGACAAGTGCAGGGAGAAGCTGTGAAAAGATATGGCATAATTCCAGACATCTGGAATATGTTGTATTTGACATTGTCAATGAGGACAAGTGCAGAAGTGATATACAAAAAAGTAACTTAGAAGGAAAAAACAAATACGTAAATTATAAACTAAGGGTAGAAATATTAAGGGAATATATTCATTCTACCAGTCCCGAGGTAGAATGATTTAAATAGTTGTGGTTTAAATGGAAATGTACATAGAAATCACTTTCTGATGCAGAATCAATTATTTCATTATCAATTATTTTTTTCACATAAGGTAATTCAATTTACCTTTCATGAAGACTTTCAATATACAATGAAGAGATAACCTAGCCAAGGCAAAACTTGAAATTTATTTTAAGTTCTTAAGACATGAGATGTGTAACAGTTTAGCTGGCATGTTTTGTTTTGTTTGTTTTGTTGAATCCCCTGAATGCTGAGAACTACAATTTAATGTAAAGGCTGAAAAGCTCCTGTTCAATCCCAATTGTTTCTTCACAAATTACAGAGTACCTTGAAGAAATAAAACAATTATCTAGGCTACAACCCTACATCTACTTACAGGAAATAAAATGGATGTTGTAAGACTGAACTGAGCTATAGTTCACAGAAGCTGATGTTGGAAAAGA